ACATACTGGTATCGGATCGGTACTCGGTATCGGCCGATACGCACAGCATAAGTATCGGAATCTGTATCGGGAGGGAAAAAAATGGTATCTGAGCATCTCTAATGCTAAAGGCATATTTCATATTGTCATATCAAAGTAAATATACCAGTACTGCTGTGATTGGGTAGATTCTGAGGGGGAATTTGCCCCCGTTCCCTGGCATGACCTCCCGCTTTTTTCCACCCGCGCTCTAAATGTCACCACTGAAACCTGCATAGCGTCGCACAGAAACGCCGCATCACACCAGTCTTGCTACGTGTTTACATCCTTCCTCCTCATGCTAATGGAGGGAAGAGATGAAAGCCAGCCTTCCTAAATCCCCCTCTCTCCCCTCTCCCCTCTCCTCTCTCCCCTCACCCCTCATCTTCCAACCATGCCAGAATGGGCAGTGAGGACGTGAGGACGTCAGGGTTTAAAGTTTTTGGGTTAAGTGGAAGCAAATCACAGCACCCCTCTTGGCTTCATTACTTTAATCACAGAAGAACACCCCCACTCACACACACACACACACACACACACACACTCACACACACACTAACAAACTGCAACAGATGCTTTTCTGCTGCTCTTCAGAGCAGAGAAGTGGGAATATGCGCGTCTGTGTGTGCATGTGGGACAGGAGGTGGTGGGAGGGGGGTTCATGTCAGGCTGGGGCTCAAACAACAGGAGAGACAAAAGTCTAGACGCTAATTATCATCAAAATTAATTGACCCAGTTGTCTGCTGCTCCTCGTGGTGATTAATAATGGTCTCCTGGTTTGGACTGGTGCTGAACTGGATTTTATTTTCCCTTTGACACACAACATTTTTCTTCTGCTTCACCGTTACAAGTTTGAACATCAAACCCCATTAAGAAAATGTGTAAAAACAAAATCACTGCTCTGTGCTAATTGCCTCAGCTTCCCATGCTTATATTCAGCCTTAACAATGGCAGAGAGCCAAATCACTGTCAGTCAGTTTGTATGTCTTCAGTCAAAGACCTCAGCTTGCTCAAGAAGAGAAGTTAAGATTTGCAAACATGTTTCATTACTGGCTTTACCCTTTCACAGCATGCAAATGGAGTTTTGAATGAGGTTATGGATGTTGATGAATGAACGTGCAACAATAAGTCAATTAATTGAGTAGTTGGCAATTAATTTAATAGTTGACAACTATTTTGATAATTGATTTACTAGGGGAGTAAGAAAATATAAAAAAATATTGTATTGTTGTTTTGTGATATTGCATTAATTATCAAAAAGACTGTTTACAACAGCTAGTTAGCAGGGCAATGATGTTGGATGTTCTGATGATGTGATGAATACAAATGCAGATCCAATGTTCTAGTTGCATTAAAAAAATGTATCCATATGGTGGTGTGTTCTTTATACTATGAAATTTTTCCTAAAATCAAACCAAAACATTCCCTATCACCTTGCTTACAGTATCGAAATGTGTTGCAATATATTGAATCGTAATCCCTGTAACATGATACGTATTATATCCCCAGATGCTGGCCAATACACAGCCCTTTGATTAATCGTTTTGAGTAAGTTTTTCTCCAATGAGAATATTTCTGGTTTCCTTAGTCCTCTATGGCAGTAAACTGAATATTGTTGTTGTGGATAAAACAAAACATTTGAGGACTTCACCTTGGGCATTGGGAAATACTGATCAACATTTTCACCATTTTATCGACCAAACAACTAGGACTGTGTATTGGCAAGATACTGGCGATATGATATGTATCACGATACAGGGGTTGCGATTCATATAATGATATATTGTGATTTTTTTAATTTTAGGAAAGTAGTATAGTAGTAGTAGCCCTCAGTGCTATCTAGCAGCTGGAGGTTTAAACCATAAGAATCGATACAGTGTTGTGATATGGATACAATATCCAGCAAAACAAAATATGCAAGCATATGAAGGTTGATATGGATGATAAATATAGTTTTTTGATATTTTCATAGCACGCTTACAAATACCCTGATATACTTAAGTTGAGAAAATGATCAACAGTTTTCTATAATGAAAATAGTGCAGCCCTACTGATGAAACAGTGTCAAGGCATAAAAGAGTCAACCTTTAGTCTGATGAAAAGTCATTAAAAAGTCACAAAAACAATTCAAGAGGTTGTGAGGGCGTCAAGATGTAATATAAGATGCATGAAAAATATTCGTATTCTTTTATTCCTCCCCTCTCCAGGTTGTTGTTCTGGGTGGAGAAGCTGATCCTTCGTTGTCAGGCAAGCAGGGGTTGTTGCCATGCACAAGGGGCTTTACTCAGAAGGAATACATCATCGAAATGGACCAAGAGTTGGCAAAGGGACATGCCGTCTTCAACGGTCAGTACACACACACACACACAGAGAGACAGACTTGGAGCGGGGACAGCTACAGTAATAATCCCCTGCTGTTGGGTGGGGGTTGTTTAAGAGTCCTGCTGATATTTGAACCATAATGGAGCTCCAAGAGGACTGACCTTTTGTGACGGCTGAGTGTGGAGTAGAATGTGGTCTGGTCTGTGCGTCCTGATTACTGCGGTTTAAATATTGTGATGAAACATGACTGTGAATGGTGAATCAAGCTTTTTCTGATTGTTTTGTAGAGGCGTCGATGAATGTTTCCGTCCACTTTTCATGGGAGTGTTAGGTGTTGGATGCTGTTTCAGAGGGTGTTTATCCCGTCACTTGTGCACAATCCTTGGGGAATGTCTACACAAGGAAAAACTGAGTTATTAAATATTGGTTTAAGCATTGACATTACTGCTTTAGGAGAGAGAGCCCAGTGAAGTTTGAGAAGTCAAACGCTAGCTTTAATAACACAAAGACTAAGATCCCGGATGCCAGAGTCTAAGCATAAGAAAGTGTAAGGATGCCCCCCTTAACTATATATAAAAGTAAGGTAAGGAAAATGTTACTTCTTCTTTAAAATCTTGCATAATCTGGCTTTAACACTGGGTGGAGTATTATTGCAAGTATTTTTGGAGTCTGTGCAAAATCGAGAACATACTGTATTTAAAGGATCCGAAATGTTGCTTTTCTTTCTTCAATTCCAAAACATAAAGGACTGTGGTCCTTTAAAAACCCACATAGGTCAAACTCATGGTTAACATGGGTTACCAGGCCTGCTGATGTTTACCCAGTGAACGAACCAGGATCAATCGGCATGATATTTCTCTATGCTGTGTGTGAGAGGGGTTGGAGTGATCAGTATCATTGACTGGGCCTCTGGCTATAAGCGGCAGACTCATCAATAAGCAGTGTACATTTATAGAGACTGGAGTGGGTGAGCTCTGCTGAGTGTGAATGGCTGTCTGAAAGAGGGCTTTCTCATTGGTGATGATGTTTGTTTGGACAGAACCTTTGGATTTCAATGACCCTGTGCCTGTGTGTCTTTTTTTTTTTGGCCTTTTCATGCCTTTACTAGATAGTGACAGCTGAAGATAGACAGGAAAGGGGGGGTAGAGAGAGGGAACGACACGCAGCAAAGGGCCGCAGGTCGGATTCGAACCCTAGCCCGCTGCAGCAACTCCGTACAGGGTTAGCAGCTCTATCAGGTGAGCTAACCGGGTGCCCTGTAATGAAGAATTTATAGAAAATTAAATGTTTATCACCAAATTAGCGAAGCTTAGTAAGCGGCTATTCTTCAGTAAAAACAAGTCTAAATGCTGCAGGGTGGAAGGTGGCCATGTTTATTTGTGTTTGTTTATGTGATTCACTGCTTTGTTCTCGCTAACACTGGTCCCTCTCTTCATTCAATATTGAGCTCTCTCAACCGTCGCTGCTCTCTCTGCCTTTAAAGACACACCTTCAAGCAGGTAACCATGTTGTAATGGAGATGCAAATCAAACCGAGTCAAGCCAAGCCAGCACATGTGTATGGAAAAGGGCTATTGGTCTGCAGTCAGACTTCAGACAGGAGCCCATAGTATAAACAGTTGAATTAATGTGTGCCATTGGACAACATTCACATGCCTAAATAATTACAGTGGGAGCTTCCACGTCTTCCATTCTTTTTTTTATTTCTTGCAGTGTAAGAAAGAACAAATGAAGAATTAAAAGGAAACAAGCTCAAACTGCTACACAGTGTTTGTATGTATTAATGAATATGTGTTTCCGGTCTGAGTGTGGAACGGATGGACTGACGGTGTACGAGTAGACAGAATAATTAAAATATGTAGTTAACAACATCCTTATTTACAAGAATCCATCCCTCTTTTTCCCCTGTGTGTGTGTGTGTCACAGCTAACCGAGCACAGAGCTCAGCAGCCAGCAGCTCTCAGACAGGAGACGCCTTAGGGAAAGCACTCGCATCCGTAAGTTCAGCACACACAAACACGCCTAAATATACATACACGTAGAGATGTGAGAGACCTGTTCAGTATTTTATCAATGCTAAATTATTTAATACATTTCTGTGATTTTGGAGTCGTGATCATAGACATTGTTCTCTCTGACTTTTATCTTCTTATTTTCTTCAGATCTACCTCTCCGGACCACACGAACAACAGCTTCTCGTGCCAATCCCTCCACCCAGTCGCCTCCACACTCCCTCAACAGGTAGCACCATGACACTCACTTTATATACACCATACCGCCATCGCAGATGGAAAAGCAGAGACTTGACTTTACCTTAAATTTTCAAACATCACTTGAGATGATGAACTTGTTTTT